GTGACTATTGCAATTAGTCATGATAACAATTACAATTGTATCAAAAGATTCTTATCCCCTTCTCCTTTCACCAGACCCATCTAGACAAGATGAAAACTACTCAGTGGGGATTCTACCTTCCCCTGCAAACATTCTGAAACTGAACTCCTTCTTGAAACTTTTAAGCCAGTCTCTTGGTGACTTTAGAGCCCCACCCCCACCCCATTTTAGATAGCCAATATCTGTTACTTGTCCCTAAAAACCTTGTATACCGAGGGGATATGTTTGATCCTTGATGTAAGTATAGGTCAAGTTCATCAAATTGTAGCAAGTTACACTTGGTTCCTTTATCAAATATCTTTACTTACTCTAGTCAAGCTCTGGTCATCTAACCATCAAAGCTAGGTCAGATGGGTATTATCTGCAAGTTTGGGTGTTCTTTGCATCTCCCCCCACTTCATATTAACTGGCCACTGCACTCTCAGTTCTAGCCCTCCATTGCTAAGTTAATGTCCATGGGCTCAGGAGTTCCCCAGTCTCCCCAAACTTCCGACCAACCAGCCTTTCCTCTCCCCTCTCTCATCATGACGTCAACAGGAGTCTATAGAACATGATCGAACTCAACCCATATCTTCATTACTGACTTTCCACCACTTCCATTCAAATGTAGACCGACATGGTCACCAGCAAGTTTTTAAGCCTGCTTGTGTGTTCCTTTGGAGTTTCAGTCTTGGTTGGGGGGTGGGAGGGGTTGTCGTGAAGGGACTTGACTGCTTGCCTTGATGGCTTCCTGATGAACAGCTTGCTTGTTCTTCTCAGCCTAACAGATTGCCATTTTTTATTTTATTTCACTGCTGGTCTTTCAGGAAGAATCCTCTGTTCTTCTAGACACTCTAGGTTAGTCTGCATGTCCTTTCAAGTGAGAACGTCCCACATCAGAAAGTACCGTATGAGGCTCAGGATTCCACCTAATGTCCTATACACTACAAAGGCGCCACAAGTAGCCTATTTTGCTGGGCAAAGTCTAGAACCCCTTTTAGATATTCCAATCAGTCATAGGCTGAAGATGGGCTTACAGGTTTTCTGTAATCATGTTTTCCAATATTCCTATCACACTCAAGTGTCTATTTTAAAGTAGTAGGCAAGGGAAATCAACATCTGTAAGACAGTTTGGCATCTTAACATTATTTACCTTTACCCATTCAAATTATACTTCGATCCCTGTTATCACAAAGCTCTGTTGTTCCAAGGTTGAGTGTACATCATTATTTACCTCTGTCCCATTTAGCCCATACAAAACTACTTAAGTGTCCCCTATCCACCTTGTTCTTCCATCCTCCTCCCCCTTCTTGTGTATTGCCCTCCCCAACATCTGAACTGTGGCATGTCTATCCCCTACCCTGTGCTCTACTCTCTCCTCCCACCCCTGGTACCCAACAAAGAAAAAAAAAAATGTCTTTTCTCCCTTTAGTATGGATATCTTAAGCTTTTACAATAATGGTCTTATGCAGTATTTGCTTTTTGTGACTGACTAATCTCACTCAGCATAATATCCTCAATATTAATCCGTGTTATATATTGGCTTATAGCTTCCTTGTTATCCTTCAAGGTAGCATATATTCCACTGTGTGTATGTACGAAAGTTTGTTTATCCATTCTTCCATTGGTAGGCACTTAGGCTGTCTCGATCTTTTTGCTATTGTGAATAGTGATGTGGTAAACATTGGTGTGCATGTATCTGCTCGTGTTCTGGCTCATATTTCTTATGTATATATACCAAGGAAAGGAATTGCTGGATCATAAGGTATTTCTATTTCCAACTTTCTGAGGAAGCAGCATACCGTTTTCCAGAGTGACTGAACCATTTTACACTCCAACCAAAAATATAGGAGTGTCCCAGTTGATCCACATCTTCCGCAGCATTTATTCTCCTCTGCATTTTTGAACCTTGCTGTTATTGCTGCTGTGAGATGATATCTCATTGTTGTTTTGATTTGCATCTCTCTAATGGCTAGTGATCGTGAACATTTCTTCATGCTTGTTGGCTGCCCAATTGTCTTCCTTGGTGAAGTGTCTGTTCATGTCCTGCACCCATTTTTTAATTGGGTTACTTGTCTTTTTCTTGTAGGTGTTGTAGTTTCCTATAGATTTTAGAAATTAGTTCCTTGACTGATATGTCATTGCATAAGATTTTTCCCATCCTGTGGGTTCCTTTTTAACTCTTTTGGTGAAAACTTTTGATGCACATAAATTTCTAATTTTTAGTATGTCCTAATAACAACCACAATCATCTATTAGGTCTTTTGTTTGTGCATTTCTCACAATGTTTAATCTTCTACTTGTGCCCTGTATTAGAGCCCTTAAATTTGTCCTTATTGTTTTTTCATTGAAGACCTTTGTAAATCTGGGATTCACATTTAGGTCTTCAATCCATAAGTCGGGGTTTGTATGTGGTATGAGGTAAAGGTGTTTCAGTCTTTTGCATATCGATTTCTATAGTTTTGCCAACACCATCTGTTGAAGAGACTATCTCTTCCTCATTCAATGTACTTTGGCCCTTTGTCAAAGATCAGTTGGCTGTATGTGAATGAATTAATTTCTGGATTTCCAATTCTGTTCCATTGATTTACGTATCTTCCATTGTACCAGTACCAGGCTGTTTTTACCATTGTAGCTATGTAGTATGTTTTGAAATCAGGGAGTGAGAAGCCTCCAGCTTTGTTCTTCTTAAGCAGCACTTTGCTTATTCGGGGACTCTTTCCTTTCCATATAAAGTTTGTAATCATTTTTCCATCTTTAAAGAATGTCAGTGGAATCTGGATTAGGATTGCATTACATCTGTAGATTGCTTTGGGTAGTATTGACAATTTCACAATGTTAAATGTTTCTATCCAGGGATATGGTATAATCTTCAAGTTTTCTAAGTCTGTTTTGCTTTTTTGTAGTAGTGTTTTGTAGTTTTCTTTGTATAGGTCCTTTGTTTCTCTGGTTACATTTATTTCTAAGTATTTCATCCTTTGGGTGGCTATTGTAAATTATATTGCTTTCCTGATTTCCTTTTCAGGACTGTCATTATTAGTATAGAGGAATCCGACTCCTTTTTGTATTTTGGTGTTGTACCCTTCCACTTTGCTGAAGTCTTCCAATGATCTCTAGTAGTTTTTGTTTTGTTTTGTTTTGTTTTTGCTGAGGCTTTGGGGTTTTCTATGTATAGGATTTTTATCATCTGAAAATAGTTTTATTTCTTCTTTGTCAATTTGGAAAACTTTATAGGTCTGGCTAAGACTTCCAAAACAACATTGAATAGGAGTGGTGACAAAATGCATCTCTTCTCTGGTCCCTGTTCATAAAGGACTTTCAGTTTCTCACCATTGAGAGTGATGTTGGCTGTTGGTTTTGTATATATGCTCTTAATGATAAGGAATTTCCCTTCAATTCCTAATTTGTTGAGTGTTTTTGTCAGGAATGGATGTTGGTTTTTGTCAAAATGCCTTTTCTGTGTCGATCGATATGATCATGTGGTTCTTTACCTTTTCTTATTTATATGGTGGGTTTCATTGATTGTTTTTCTATGTTTTTCTAATATCAAGCCATCCTTGCATCCTGATATGAATCCCACATGGTCATATTATTTTTTTGCTGTGTTGTTGCATTCTGTTGGCTATGATTTTGTTCAGAATTTTTTTTTTTTTTTTTAAGGTTTTTATTGTGGATTGAATGAAAGTTTTCAGGGTACATCATCGGTTTCACATTCAAACATTCATATACCTTGTTTCATTACATTGATTATAATCCCCTCCACATACCATCAGTTAACAGAGTTTCTCTCTATCCTCTTTAGCTTTTTTTTTTTTTTTTGGAGGAGGAGGAACTTTGCCTTTTTGGAATTTACAGTCACGGCTTTTAGGGAAGGTTTTTACATTTATCTGTGGGTATCCAGGGCTCATGTATGGAATTACTAACCAGCATAACTGAATAATCAGATAAGGGGCATTTTGCTATGTCTGCTAGGTGGCTAAAGTCTGATCCTCAGAGCCTATGGTTTGGACAGTCAGCAACGCTTGGGCTCACGGGACTTGAACTCCTGACCGGGTCTGCACGGTCTGCATCAGATTCCCCCTTATTTATTATTTGTTTAAGGGACGCTGCCTGTCTTAGGTGGTCAGTGCGAATACCTGAGTCTTACCTGTCCTCGAAACCCATTGCAGCATGGCACAACAAAAAACAGACTGGACACTAAAATCTATCATCGTAAAAAAATCACCCTGAAGTAAAATACACGACTTTAACACAGTCTTGGCTTCTTGTCTTCAAGGCTGCCTGAGAAATTTCAAGATGTTACCATTGCTCCTTATGACGTAACTCCAAATTTAATTTTCTGCCTCTTTCCTTTTTATCTGTCTCTCTCCCCAGCCTCAAGCCCTTTCAGGTGTTTCTCCTAATGAAAAACAGCTCAGGGCTGGCTCAAGCCATTATGGGAGACCGTTCTATTTTAAGCCATTCCTGTTGACGACTCTCCCTTCTTCATTTCTGTGCCCAGTGAACTTTGCTGAACATATCCTTGCACATGTGTAGTAGAACTCTCTAGGGATGGGGGTGTGTCCATTTACTCAGGCACTCCTCTAATCACCAGAGTGGAAGTGCACATAGAGAGGCAAATGAACAGAAAACTGTTCAGACTTTTTTATCTTTGATGACTGGTCAGACCCCTGTGATGGGAATGCTCCCTCAATCCTTAAATGGTGCATTCACGCTCAAGATGGCTGCTCCAGGACCCTCCAGTAGCCATAGATTAGAAGGCACCACCTTTCTTGTTACAAATCCCACTAGCAGTAAGCCTTCAATCCTTCTATATGTAGTTTAGAGTTTTGAGACTGTACTCTGAACCTGCTTCGTCCAGCAATCTGTGTTATTACTGGTAGAGGTCTGCTCGGAGCCTCTCCCTACTCCACCATGAAGCCAGAATTCTCCTTGTGCTTCACTTTTAAATAAATAATCAAACTACTTTTCTTTCCTTTTAGGATTTCATCAAGGGTCTTTCCATTTTGCTCCGAGGGACAGTACAAGAAAAACTCAACTGGGCATTTAATTTGTATGACATAAACAAAGATGGCTTCATCACTAAAGAAGTAAGTACCTTACCAACACTGCTACCCCTTGAGCCATTTTATCTTTTACTTTCAAAATATCAAACAATTGCTATTCAGTTGGGGGGAAAAATATATATATATATTCTTGAAAATCCCAAATATTTTATGTGGTGGTAGGGGGAGAAGCATTCCAATAAAAATTTGAAATGAATATAATTTATAGCAAATCTCCAAAACACATATATGTGATTCAAAGGAGTACCCCCTTTATTCCTAATGGTAGTCAATACTGTGGGTCTAATTTCGATTGTGACTGGAATCACATGGGAAGAAAATAAATTATACCATATTAGAAGATTTAGCCTGAAACCATCTCCCCTCATTTAATGTAGTCCCTAATGGAACCAACTCCATGGCATATAACCACTACCACCACATGGAAACACAGTATTACAGACCGTCTGGGTGGCACATGGCCACGATGGTGTTGAGTAGAAAACCATCTTCATGCAATGGTGAAGCCTCCAAGTACACTTATTTCCATGCAGGTTAACAAGGACACAGAACAGAAATGCTCCAATCACAGTTTGGTATCAATTTTAAGTACACAGTAAGGAGATGGAATAGGCTGACACAGTTAGGATAGGGCACAAGTGGGGTCAGAGAAGCACAGTACAAGAATCCTGGGGTGCTCAGTGTTCACAGATCAAGTCTTTATCTCTGCCTCATCTGCCTTCTAAGGAATTGAGTATTTAAGCAAGAGGCCCACAATGTACTACATGGCCAAGTATTCTCACATGGTGAAGTAACATTTTCTTCCCATGTGATTTCAATCACAGTATTGACTACCATTAGGAAGCAAGGGTGTAATCCTATGTGTCCCATGTTTGTTTTGGAGATTCCCCATAAAGTCTATTCATTCCAGTGAATAGAACGTACTTGCTGTCTCAGAGATGCAGGGACGTGTGCAGCTTACCACAGTGATAGCTAGTCAGGTAGCATGATACATGCATGGGTTTTATTTCATTTTTTGGGCACAGGATTCATGGGGCTACAATGGGTGTCACCAAAAGGCAGCCTGAGTATTAAGTGTCCATATCTATTTAATGTAGTCTGAATACTTAATGTCTCCTGTAGAATTAGTATATGATGATGCCTCAGGAATATTAAGTGTATTTTGGTCCATTTCTTTATAGTCTTTTAAATGTGTAATATAACCATGCTTGACTGTACTTTACCAATCTCATATTATGATACGAATTCTACCTATACCTAACAAGTTTCTTGCTATTTATCTAGTCATAAAACATTTTTAAAAGTTTGTCTATGGTTTATAAACTACAATCTATTTATCCTTTATTTAAAAAAGAAAATCCTTAAATGTAGACGTATATTGCATCTATATACGAGGGGACTTCAAAAGTGTGTGGACAAATTCCACTATCTTTTAATCCCATTTTTCTATGAACTTTTTGAAGCCCCCTTGTATTACCAACTTAATCTAGAGGCTTTTTTCACACAGGGAACTTCAATAAAAATAAAGCAAAGGCAAAACACTCAACCTGAATATCCTCCATAATCAGATAATTGTTATTTTTATCTCAGAAGAAAGGAAATGACAAGGCAAATCTGGATTTTATTTTAAAAAATTACCACAAATTGTAAGTTGCTTTTGCTTCTCCAGGTTAAACTACTTGGACTAGTCTATATGTGTGATGTCTTTGGTTAAAGTCAGAGTAGGAAAATGGAAGTGAAAAATCTTAATGAGTTCTGTGACTCAATCATCAGTTACTTTAATGAAATTCTCATGACGTGAAGTTCATTTGCTTCTCAATCAAAGGACGCAGGTACAAATGCCTAAGACACATACATAAGACTCAGTAAAACAAAGGTTGGTTGTGAGTGGCCTATGGAAATCCAAATGTTTCATTAAACCGGAGCATTCCCTTTCCTGAGACTGGTTGAACAAAATAGGCTAGATAATGTCAATGTGCTTTACTTGAAAACAGAAAAATAAGAGTTGATTCTTACATTCGGATTAAATCATAAAGCTGGAGGCTTTTCCTCTTGCACAACTAAAAAGGTACTTGATGAAAAAGCCAAGAAAAATGTTAAAGATCTGAAATTAAGTGTTAAGAATGTTACCACTTCTTTCGTAGGGTATTTCAGGAAACCTCACTCTAGTACTCTTTGCTCCTCAGGAAATGCTTGACATCATGAAAGCAATATACGACATGATGGGGAAGTGCACATATCCTGTCCTCAAGGAAGATGCACCCAGACAGCATGTGGAAACATTTTTCCAGGTAGGGATGCAAACAGGAATCAGGGAGGGAGTGAAACATAGACCAAACTTTCCTGAGGTTTGCAAAACATGATTATCCCCAAGAATACAAGGAAGATCGTTACTGTCCAATAATAACCACGCGCAACTAACTGCCATCAAGTCGATTCTGACTCGCAGTGAGTGACTTACAGGACAGGGAAGAGCTGCTCCCTGAGAGGTTCCGAGACTCTGTAGATCTCTACAGGATCAGACAGCCTCAGCTTTCTCCTGAGGAATATCTGATGCCGTTGACCTAACGACCGTGTGGCTTGCAGCCTAACGTGTTACTCACGGCATCACCAGAGCTCCTAAAGAATTATCTAGAAGAATATGAAGTCCCATCAAGTAGGTTCTGACTCATAGTAACCCTGTATAGGATTTCTGAGGAGTGGCTGGTAGTTTTGAATCGCCGACCTTGTGATTAGCAGTCTAGTGCTTATTCTGTAGTACCACACAAGGAAAATGATTTATAACAACTACTCGATGGCACCTGGCAACAACAACAACAACTTCTTGTTAAGTGCCATGGAATGGGTTCCAACTCACAGGAAACCTGTATAAGATTTCTGAGGCTTTAAATCTTCATGGAAGCAGAAAGCCTCATCTTTCACCCGTGGAGTGGCTGGTGGGCTCCAGCAGTGAACTTTGGGTGTATTGTATGAAATCATGGCAACAACAAATTACCATCCTAATTTAATTGTTGTTGTTGTTGTTAAGTGCTGTTGAGTCAGTTTTGACCCATAGCGACCCTGTACAGGGTTTCCGAGGGTGTAAATCTTTACGGGAGTAGAAAGCCTCATCTTTCTCCCGCGGAGCAGCTGGTAGTTTTGAACCGCTGACCTTAAGGTTCACAGCCCGATTCGTAACCACTACGCTACCAGAGCTATGGTCCTCAATTTATTATTGTAGTGTTTGTTGCTAAGTCCTGTTGAGTATGTTCCGACTGATCGTGACCCTAGTGACCCTGTACAGGATTTCCAAGGTCAGCCTTAATGGTTTAAACAGACCTTAGTGACCCAGTGCTTTACCTCACAGCACCACACCAGGACTGTTGTACTGGTAGCCACACTTTTTAGGGTGTGCGGTGGCTCTGTAGGGTAAGCACTGGACTTTCAACCACAAGGTCGGCAGTTAGAGCCCACCAACCACTCTGCGGAAAAAAAAATAAGGCTTCCTGTTCCCGCAAAGACTACAATCTCAGAAACCCTATATGGGGTAGCTATCAGTCAGAACAAGGAGCTCTGGTAGCTTAGTGGTTACGAATCAGGCTGCGAACTGCAAGGTCAGCAGTTCAAAACTACCAGCCGCTCTGCAGGAGAAAGATGAGGCTCTCTGCTTCTGTAAAGATTTACAGCCTCGGAAACCCTGTACAGGGTCGCTATGAGTCAGAACAGACTCCACGGCACTTAACAACAATGTCATAATTACGGTCTTGAATGTATTATTATTGTACCGGTAACCATACTTAATTAGCTCTCAGTAGAACATATGCAGAACCGTGTCTAGGAAGATACAGGGCACATGGCATGCAGTGCTTTTTTTTTTCTTCCATTCAAGTTTCCTAAAAGCCCTCTGAAGTTCTCTAAGAGTGTCCTTTAGATGAGCCAATGCTCTGAATGTTTTGGCCGATGGCCTGAGATTCCACAGCTAGAAGGCAGAACTTTACCAAGACCACAGGTGGTGGTGGCTGTTAAATGCCATCCAGTTGGTTTAGACTCAAATCAACCTTATACAGCAGGGGTGGGGAACGTCCAGCCTACGGGCCACATACTGTCCTCGAAATCATTTGGTTTGGCCCTGCCAAGGCAGTCGCGGTTCCAGCCATCACAATAGGGGTGAGTTAACAATTTGACCAAATATAGCAGGTTAATTTTTAAGTTGATAAATTTTGTACAGCCTGCAAACGATGTTATAAATTTTGGCAGAAAAAAGGCCCTGCACCCCTGCTGTATATAGGATTTCTAAGGCTGAAAATCTTTGTCAGCGCACAAAGCCTCAAGAACATCCGTATCATTACTTCCAAGAAATGACTAGCTTGTGCTATGAATCAGGTCCTCCCGGTGAAAACAAGCAAGTAGCCAGGCTTTGTTTTCATCAATTTGCACTCATTTGTTTCAGGTGTGGGAGTATCACATTATAATACTGAGTAAGATTTTTCCTTCCCTCCTTTCCTGAACAGAAAATGGACAAAAATAAGGACGGGGTGGTTACCATAGATGAGTTCATCGAAAGCTGCCAAAAAGTAAGTAACTACAGGCTTTCCTAACAGCTTTTTTGTGTCTTATCAGCTGTTGTTGAGGAACAAGAGAAAGAAATGTTACCCAGTTCTGAGCCGTCTCCATGATGGTGGGAGCCATCTTCTTCAGGCCACTGTATATCTGAACTACCATTACTAGCTAATTTTCAATAGTAAATCACCAGACTTTTCTTCCTAGTCTTAGTCTGGAAGCTCTTCTGATATCTGAAATACAAATAAGCCTCCACCACAGGTAGTGGTTTGACAGCGAACCACTCTGTACAGAGCATCAGTGCTCTGAGTGGTGAAGCCAACGCTAAAGGTCATCTACCAAGTTTAGCGTTTCTGCAGTTAACCACTGTGAGAACAGGCGCTGATTCACAGACTGAGTCAACCAACGTTTAGAAAGCGTCAATGCATGAAGCCTTGAAGACACTAGTTTTATGTGTAGTTTTTCTATATGAGTAATATTTTTCTGCTACAAATCCATTAGTCCATATGCATCACTGTAGATAAGACTTAGCTATTAGAATTCTAGCATCATATTTGATTTCTCAGAGAAATCTTTAGGTGGGCAAGAAATGGCTCTTTGGCTACACCTAACAGCGGTCATCAGTTGGGGGCACTGTAGGATAGCACTGAACTACTAAATAGCAAAGAATAAAGAGTGGGAAATTCTTTTAAAGAAGAAATACAGGAGACTTGTCCATCATCTGGCTTACTGGAGTGGGAAATTCTTTTAAAGAAGAAATACAGGAGACTTGTCCATCATCTGGCTTACTGAGAGTTATCTGACTTGGTAGGTGGGTAGAATTACAGATAATTTTTAAAATAACCATACAACAAAGCAGTGTGTTCAGTTTCTTGACTCATGTTTCAATGTGATGGTCTCTGAAAAATGAACTTGGTGACATTAGTCTGCTTAAGGTCGCTGGCACTGAGAGCCGTGATTAGTGTGCCGGACTCCTGGTGTGGCACTGAAGAATTCAGCAACACCTACCAGCTGCTCCTCGGAAACGCTATACAGCACTGCTATGAGTCGGAACCAACTTGATGGCAACTTAACAACATAAATAACTAAGTACCATTCACATTCTTGTCAGGTGCCTTTGAGTCAGTTCTGACTCCCAGAAGCCCTATGTCTCATATTGTTGCTCCGTCGAGCCCACAGCCACAGGCACTGTGTTACTCCAGCTCACTGAGGGGAGCCCTCTTTTTTGCTGCCCCTCGAATGCTCAATCTCTGCCCCCTTAGGGCTTTCCTAAGGAATATGCCAAAGTGAACAGTCACTGGGTAATTTGTAGGTTGCTTCAAACAAATCCCTTCTCTGGCATGGAGAAATCGTTCATTTCACCTAACATCAACAACAGAGGCTCTGCAAATGAAGCCATAACTCAGAAGAGAGCCAAGCAAGGTGTGATTACAGCAAACACGTTCCCTCTCTCAGTCTCACTGCCTTTCTCCCCATGCTCCGATCTCTAACCAAATCCCACTGCCCCTGAGGCAGTTCAGATGCAAAATGCTTCGAAAGGACTCAGGAGAACTGCTCCCTAGGCTTTCCAAGGTGGTAAATCTTCATAGGAGCAGCTGGCGGCTGTGACCTGTCAACAACAGAGTTCCCACACGGACTCTTTGTTGCCTTCCTCATTCATAAATCTCTCTGTAATTTGGTCTTCCTACCTGGAAGGCCAAAGTTGGCATTGGCTCATTTTGACTTCCTCTGGGCCTCTCTCTAGTTACCATTCTGGCATCCTCACCAATAACTGTACCATCCTGGTCAAGCCAACAGAACCTAAAAACGAACTCTTTGTAGTCATCTAGGTCAAAACAAAGGAAGGATGGTATTTACAGACATTCATAGGCAGTATTTGAACTTCTGTTCTAGAAGACTGGTGGGGGTAACAATGTATTTTTCTTGGAAATACACTAAAATTAATGCCTGTTTTTCCCTTGCAGGATGAAAACATAATGCGTTCCATGCAGCTCTTTGAAAATGTGATTTAACTTGTCAAATAGAGCCTCAACCCAACAGACAAATGTGAACTATTCTACCACCCGTACAGTTGGAGCTATCACTTTTAGCATAGATTGCTCAGCTTTACACTGAGGCATATTATGCAAACAGGCTTTGTTTTCACATAAAGCAACCACCAAAAGATTTGAGTTCCCCAGTCATAAATTTGCATCCTTTGCATAATGCCACTGAGTTCATGGGTTGTTCGAAAAGTCATTTCATACCCTGTGAATAGTCACAAAGAAATAGAACTTGACAGATAGTTTTCATTTTATTCTGATTCTTTAGCCACGGGATTATTACGGCTTTCACTGAGCTAAGTGATTTTAAAATAGCCAAGGTGGTGCTGCAAGATCAGCCCTGAACTGCAAATTACAAGGTTGGCAGTTCAAACCCACTGGTTGCTCCTCAGAAACCTTAGAGAGGGTCACTATGAATTGGAACCAACAAGACGGCACTTAACAATAACATTTGTATGGATTCAATCATAGGATTTTAAATGACTTTCTAAAATACACCAGAATTTGATTCCAGAAATTAATGTAATGTTTGAATGCTGTAACCCCATTGATGAATAACGAGAAAAAGATGACAAGTCGAGTAACAAACACAGTTCCAGTTTCTGTGGTTTTGCGTAATTAACATTAAAGATGTTACTTATGGCATCTTTCATCTCATTAAACAGTTTGTCATCAGATACGTCTTAGGTTTTATTAAGACATACTGTAGCCAAGGTCTGTATAATTTTGGACATGTTCAATTACAAACCCACAACACTGCCCACTGAGTTGGCTCTGACTCAGAATGGCCCTGTCAGACGGAGCAGAACTTCCCCATGGGGTTTGCAAATCTTTATAGGGTCAGACTGCCACATCTTCCTCACGTGAATCCCACTGCTAATCTTTTGGTGGGTGCTAACCCTTTGGTTGACAGTGGGGCACTTTAACCACTGCACCCCCAGTGCAATTTATATGGTTCTGGGAAGTTAAAGTCCCAGGTGTGAAACACAATTTGTTTCAAAGCCTGTGCAGAGTCAAGATGCCAGTCCTCCATTACTTCGTAACGATTAACAAGCAGTCCTTAACAGCATAAGGATCCCTTATGCCTGGGGACCCGACTACCTGGTCAGAACACACTGAAAGCCCCAATAATCCCATGACACTACCAAGATAAGCAGAAGATGAGTCCAACTCCTACACAAGTCATCTGGATTGCATTATAATTTGGATCATTACCAAACTCCAACAATTCAGAGTCTTTTCAGTAACCTGAAGCCAATACTGTACACTTGCCACACACACACACACACACACACACACACACTATCTTCCCTGTTTTGCAGAAAAATCACAAAGACCCGAGGCCACAGTAAAGGAAATTTGCAGCTGTCTTGGCCAGCCTCAATCAGGTATCTATTCTGGTGTAGAGATAGGATGTGGAAGCTGCCCTGCTAGCACCAGTGTAGAAATGAAGAGTAGTACAATACATGTACACTGAACTTGCCATCGCGTATTTGTGTAAACTCAATGTGCACATTTTGTATTTCAAAAAAGAAAAATAAAAGCAAGTAAAATGTTTATAACTCTACTGTCTCTATTCTAGGTCTTTATTCTAGCAGTTTTTTGTTTTGTTTTCCTTTCATTTAAGCTAGAATAGAATGGGATTGATTACTTTTCCTCAGGCATTTTCTAGATGGCATAGCTGTGTCTCTGGGTACTGTTAAGTGCTAGGAGGACTTCTGGGGTGGCACCGAACGAACCACAAGGTCGGCAGTTCAAATCCACCAGCTGCTCCTAAAAAACCCTAGACAGGGTGGCTCTGAGTCAGAACCAACTGCACGGCACTTAACAACAAATGCTAGGAAGACAAGAAAAGAGCAACAGTAGTGAGCAGCCTGAGTGATTAGAGGAGGGGACTTGTGAGGTGATACCTGAAGGAAGCCCAGAGGTCCTGGCTGGACAAAAGCTCTGAGGGTGCAGGAATGTGTCTGCACATATGACTCTTCAGGAATTACTCAGTCTTCCATATTGCAATTGTGCAATTGCATCTGAAATGAGAATTGCAAAGAGGTCACTCAAGGTAAACTGAAGGATGCTTCTTGGCTATAATATTGCAGCTCCTGGAGAAGAGTGATTTCCTCATTTCCTTCCCTTCAGGATTTGGCACATTTTGCAAAGAAGATCTGGTAGCATAGCAGGTAGGAGTCGGCCTGTGAACCTCAAGGTCAGCAGTTTGAAACTACCAGCTGTTCCGGGGGAGAATGAAGAGGGTTTCGGCTCCTGTAAAGATTTACCAGGCTTGGAAACTGTATGCTGGGTCAGTTAAGAGTCAGAACTGACTCCATGGCACACCACCACCGACCACATATGGTGGGGGCTACTGAAATCCTGGGGCTGTTTCGCATTGCCCACATGATCAAAGCTCTTCTCGTTTATTATTCCTTTTCTTCTGGTCCTCTCTCGAAGAGTGAGCTGAGAAATCAGCTTCTAATAGATCAAATCTCTGAAAACTACATCTGTAAATTATGTGTTTAAAGCTTAAAGAGAAACAAAAAAGAACTGTTAAATACAGCAAAAGCACAACAAGATCACTGAACGTGTATTATAGTTCTTAAGATTTTAATTTTGGAAAAGCTTCATGTATACATAAGTACTTCCAGGCTATTTAATACAAAAATAACATTTTCTTAAATACAATTAACACCTAAAGTTTAGGTCTTGTAAATGAGTTGTAATAAACAACATATTTATAGGAGAACGTCCACATATTAAGTCTTCTTAAACTATAATACTCTGGAATAAAATTTTTCCAAGCATACTACATTATAAAATAGATATTTACAAAGGATAATGAATTCACACATTTCTGCCTGCTATTTTAAATTTTTATAGCCTTGATAAATGTAAAACTAACAAATAATGGCAAAATCCCTACAAAAGTAAGTGCAGCTAAAAAGTGATTGCAATAGGCTGCTATCAATAAAAGGCACTAGAAAGTGAGGACGAGCACATCCTGTCTTGGAAATCCATTACGGTTCATCACACAAACCATCAAAATAAGAAGAAGAAACCCACAACACTAGACTACTACAGAACTTCTTTAATAACAGTCCATCATGAAGTGGTCTTTCTTAATGAGTAACTTTACTATGATCCTTGGGACTGTGTCTACATTGTTTTAACCCGGTAGATGATAAATTGTGGCTGTGATTGACGACCAAGTGAAGTGACATGAATCTGAACCCAGCCGTTGGCTCCTGCAGTTGACCTGTAATACCTGTCACCACATAAATAAGACACTGCCAGCTGGCTCCGTTCTTCAACAGCAGATAGAGCAGTATGTTGGGATTTTAGATTTGATGACAATGAGGCTTCCCTGTGGAGAGCAGAGAAATTAACATCCTGAGTATCACAGAGCACACCCCTAACTCCCCTACTAGGGATTCTATCTGCAGGAACATGACTGACACATGCCCCAACTGAAAAACAAGACGAGAATAATGGAAACAAGGAGTAGAACTTCAGTCCGAGTTAAAGTGCGTGTAGGTTGGTATTGCTTTTAAAGGGATCTGAAGAAGGAAGGAATCCTGGTGACAGAGTGAGTTAAATGTCAAACTGCTCACTGCAGGGTTGGTGGTTCAAACCTACCAGCCGCTCTGCAAGAGAACGATACGGGTGTCTGCTCCCATAAAGACTGACAGCCTGGCACGCCTGAGGAGCAGTTCTCCTCCTTCCTACAGGGGGTGCACTGTGAGTTGGACTGACTCGATGGCAGTGCATGGGTTAAACTAGATAAGGAGTAGTTAGAAGCCAGAGGTCCTAGATCTGAATCCAGCTTCTGTCCCTCACCAAAGGAACCCTAGTGGTGCAGTGGTTAAGGTGGTCAGCTGCTAACCAAGGTCAGTGGTTAGAACCCACCAGATAAACTGTCTGAGGAAGAGGAGGCAGCCTGCTTCGGTAAAGATTTAGAACCTTGGACATACCAGCTCTGTCCTGTAGGGTCGTTAATAGTGGGAATCACTGAGCAGCAGTGGGGTCTACTGGTCACTGCATTGTCAAACATGGGGCTAATGGCTTCTCTTCTCCCGTTTCTTAACCTTTAAGAGAGGCAACAACCATACATACCTGGAAGAGTCATTGTGAAGAATAAGCACTTTTTAAAACGTCTACACTCAGCAGAACACTGGCACATAGGCAAGTTCTCAAGTCCTCCATAAAGACCGGGGTATGTGTCCCCAGACAAATGTACTTAACACTTAGAAAGACAGCTGTATCAGGCTAAGAATGCCCGGATTTTAACTGAAAATGGCAGGAAGCAAAAGGCCACTACTAGGAAAATGGCAAGAAGCAAAAGGACAATTTTGGCAAAAAGCAAAAGGCACTACTAGGAAAATGACAAGTTAAAAGACAACATTGTGAATTTGTAACTCATGTTTGTTTCCAGAAATTGAGACTTTCCATCACTGTTCTAAACTCAAGCCCTAAAAATATGGGAAACTGCAATACTGAGACAGACGAGCCTTTGCTAACATTTAAAACACACACCCCCACACGTATATAAACGTTTACGTTCTTGGAAGTAAAAGAAGCACATTCACCAATCTCACGACATATCACAAAGAACCAAAAGCAAACTTAATTAAGTCAAGGGAAAATTCGTGAGATGTAATTTCAAGTTTTGTGGGTTTTTTCCCACAATGACATCAATTCTTTTACAGTTATATCATGTAGGGCATAAAGAGGGAAAATAAAAGCACTCAACAGACAGGTCCACCTGTAGGTGGAACCCAAACAAACCCAATGCCATCAAGTCAATTTTGACTCAGGGTGACCCTGTCTATATAGGTGGCCAAGGCTGCCCATCTTTACAAGAGCAAAAAGTCTCAGATTTTTCCTGCGGAGAGGCTGCTAACTGCTAACCTTGATGTTAGCAGTCCAATACTTATCCTATGGTGTCACTGCAGCTCCTACAACTACAAAATACAAAACAGATATTGTTGCTGTTCAAGCTGGTTCAGTCCCACAGCGACATTGTATAGGGTTTCTGAGCGGTGACTGGTGGGTATGAACCGCCGACCTTGCAGTTCACAGCCCAGTGCTTGGTCTACAGCACCACACCTGGACCCCTGTTCTGTATCAGCAAAATTCAAAAGCAGACTGAGCGACAGGAAAAGAGGAACTTCTTGCTAGCCTACGGACCTTAGTAAGTCAATTAACCATTTGTGTATTACGGCTCTACAGCCCAATAATCTTTTTCTAAAGGTCATGTAGAAGGAAACAATGTCCATCCCCAAGGGCTCTAGCCTGTTGGGCCTGGCCCCTGTCTACCTGCCCTTCTCCAGTACCGGTCCACAGGGCCCATGAAAAACACCTCACCTGGGTTTCTGATGAAAAAGCTGTTCCGTCATTACTGAGCACGTTTAATGGAATTTCACAGGGGAGGGGAAAGGGCAATTTCATTTTCTATTCAAATTCTCAAGATGGTAAGATTTTATACGTAAGAAGAACTTCCTTTCTGCTGAGAAGGGACACTGTGGATTAACGAGGGACTGACTCTGCAAACCTCATCAGTAAGGTGTCTGAACGCTAATCCTCTGCCTAAGGACAAACACTCAGCAGAGAAATGCATCATCTTGCAAGTTTAGGAACTGAACATAATCCGCTTCACAAACTTTCATCTGGGCCTTTAGCCTAAAGACAGTAAAGTCAATTTAAAACTCAGTGAAATGGGTCAAATTAATTAATTTGAACCAAGCTCAAACTAGTGTTTGTCATTTGAAATGATGTAGGCACACACAAACTTTATTACAATCACGTCCATTAGCAGTACAGACACTACAACTAAATTCTGCATATTTCGACACTCTTGCACACACGTGAGGCCTACTGAGTATCGTATCTCCCTAAACGAGAAGGGACCGTTTCTATAAAAAAAAATTTTGAAGTCTCAGTAACTTGAACACGATTTTCAAAAGATGAGCACTCTGTGAACCTAGTTATCTGACAGAACACAGACAGCACTGGGATCCTCCTCCGTCTCCCCTCAGTCAATGAAACTCTTCTCGTGTGTGTCCATGTGTGTTAGCAGAGCAGTCCGCTGCCCATGTTGTTCCAATCTGTGTTCATGGTTGAGTCTACTTATTCTCTCCAGGTAGAAAGATGGGAAATGACAAACACAAACGACAGAAACTCTTTGGTCACTGACTTCTCTATCTAATTGTTTTCTTTCCTGAACTCTCCAATGGTCAAGGCAAAACCAATTCAAACTGCATTAGAGGAACAACGTGTGGTGCTATACAGTATACTCACGCAGAGCCCTGACGGTGCAGTGGGTTAAGCACCAGGCTGCTAACTGAAAACTCAGTTCAAATCCACCAGCTGCTCCCGGGAGAAAGAGGAGGCTGTTTGCTCACGTCAAGATTCAGTCTCTGAAACTTTCTGGAGTCATTCTGTTCTGTCCTCTACGGTCTCTGGGAGTCAGAATCGACTCATCGGCTGTCGGTTTGGTGGCTTCAGTTCTGATAAAGTGCACAAGGGGGCCGCGCAGGTATACACACACACACACACAAACAGGGAGCCGCCCAGTCCAGGCACAACCTCTGAGCTTCAACACGGACACAACCATCTCAACTTGACGTGGCTGCTGACCACTGAGGCGAGCTAACACACGTGGAACGGTCTGGGTCACAGTACAGCTACAGGTAAACTGAACGTTAGGGAGAATGTTCTACTCACGCTTCCACCATGCTGCTCCAGCTTCTGCAATGCAGTGGTGATTGGCTCTTTGAATTTCTTGTAAATCAGTCTCTTCGCAAGCTTTGAAAAGAGGAGGAGGAGAGAGGGGTTATTTGGAAAAGCGCCATTATTCACCATAAGTCTACGTCAACCTTTACCAATGAACAGACTAACTGGAAACAACACCCACTGAGCTTTGCACTGTACAGTACAGACGTACACAACACTTCACTTGGTGTAGACATCCGGGGTTCCTTCAGGAAACACAGCACTGACACTGGACATGTAATAGGAACCAAGCTATTCGTTAAGGAAAAAGAAATAATGAACTGACATTAAAGACTACCAATCCAATGAAATCTGCTTCAGTACAGTACCTAGAGGAAATGATCTGTGATTCAACACATAGCTGCAGGATGAGTCTATAAGGCCCAGGGTTTCCTGGGATAAAAAGGGGCGTGATGACGATGACGAGAGCATGCGCATCAATAACTCAGTCACAGTGCAGTTGGGGGGGGGGGGGTGTTTGGGGATTCAGAGCCACAGATCATCCATCCCAAGGCAGGTTCTGCGTGGGCCATAATAGAAAAGGGAGGGAGACGACGGGATCCCAGGAGCAGAGAGGGAAGCGGCAGGATTCAGGATCCAGGAAATCTACCGCAGCCTGCTAGTGTTCCCTCCTCCAAATGTCTACTGACTACACCCTACCAACAGGGCCATGTCAGAGCTAGGTGCTCACAGCTCCGCTCTCTATGGACTCAAGCCCTATCCCCAGGATACATGTGACTCGAACCTTGTTTGGGGGAAATGGGGCTGTCAGGTTAAAGAGTTATACAGGAGCACAGCGGGTGCTAATCCTCATCTCCCACCGTTGCTGTGGTTGTGAAATGCTGCCCACTCACAGGGACCCTGTACAGGGTTTCTGAGGAGCTGCTGGTGGACTTGAAGCATGGACCCTGTGGTTAGTAGTCCGGTGCTTACCCCTCCAGGGCCACACCAGACCTCTGAGTGGAATCTCTTATAAAAGAGGACAGACCTGAGAAGGGACTCTCAGTCCTACACACGGGGAAGGCAGCACCGAAGAATCTATCTATAAGCCAAGGCCCAGGAACCACTGGGGCTCCAGAGCTGGAAATCACAAGGCTCGATGTTCCCTCAGCACTGCTGACACCCTGGGTTTAGACTAGGGACCTCCAGAACTGTGAAACCGCAATGCTCCGTTCTTCAAAGATACCCATACAGCAGCCCTACGAGACTGACACTCATCTGAAGCCCACGTAAGAATTTGCTGTTCATCGAGTCGCTTCACGGCCAGAGTTATGTTCTGTCCCTTCCTCTTCCTCTCCCCGGGCAGCTGACAAGAGCACTTCACACCACTGAGCCCTGAACAGCAAGCCCCTTCCATCAGCTCAGCAAAGGCTGAAGGGCCTTGGGGAGAAGAGACTCTGAAAAAATGGAAACTGCGAAAAGCCATCCTGAAAGAACGGGCAAGGCTATCAACATCCCAGGAAGAAAAGAAAATGTGTCTCTGACAGCCGCGAGGGCTGCGTGCTGGCAACAGGGTTTAGAGAGAGCGCCGCCAACTGTCAGCTGCACCATCACCTAAGAGACTAGTTTAAATGCAGGTTCTTGGGTCACAGCCCACATTTACCTAACAGGAATCTCAGAGTGAAGGCCCAGACTCAGGTTTCCCATGAGGAGCCCCAATGAGTCACTTTCTCATTGCACAGTTTGAAGATCTGTGCCCGAGGGTCACTGGACAGTCCCTTAAAGTGTACAAAGGACATGAGGGACTTGGCACAGGAAGCAAAGGAGCTGCGTATAAGCTCAGGACCTGGTTCGGTAAGTCTTTATCTAGAAGGCAAGCCCTTTCTTCACATGACCACTTTCAGCAGAGTTGGAACAGCAGGTCACAGTGGAGCCTTTCCGACTGAAGGGGGTGGGAATAGGTGGTTAAGGATGTGCGGAGCGGGCTGGAGATCTGAGTCTCTCAGTGAGGTGCTGAACCGTCGTTGTTGTTAGGTGCCAATGAGTCGATACTGACTCATTGCGACTCTATACACAACTAAAGGAAACACTGCCCAATCCTGGGCCAAGCTCACAACTGTTGCCATGGTGGAGCCCACTAATACTGCCACTTGGCCAATCCATCTCACTGGGGGTCTCCCTCTTTTTCTCTGACCTTCCACCGTACCAAACATGATATCCTTCTCCAGCGACTGGTCCCTTCTGACAATATGTCCCAAGTATGAGAGACAAAGTTTGGTTAAACAGGCCTGCAAGGAACACTCTGGCTGCACTTCTTCCAACACGGATCTGTTGGTCCTTTTGGCAGCCCGTGGCACTTTCAATATTCTCCTCCAACACCATAACTCAAAGGCATCAATTCTTCTATGGTCTTCCTTATTCACTATCCAGCTTTCATATGCATATGAGGTTACTGAAAATCATGGCTTGGGGTCAGATGCATCTTAGTCCTCAAGCTGACATCTCTGTTCTTCAACACTTTAAAAAGGTCTTGTGCGGCATATTTGCCTAATGCAATACATCGTTTGATTTCTTGGCTGCTGCTTCCATGAGTGTTGATGGTTGATCCAAGAAGAATGAAGTCATTGGCAACGTCAATCCTTTCTCCATTGATAAGAATGTTGTTTACTGGTCCAGTGGTGAGGATTTTTGTTTTCTTTATATTGAGATGCAATCCATACCAAAGGCTGTGTGCTCTTTGTCTTCAACAGTAACTATTTTAAGTCCTCTTGATTTAAAATATTCAGCAAGCAAGGTTGTATCATCTGCATATCGCAGGTTGTTAATGAGTCTTCCTCCAATCCTGATGCCACGTTTTTCTTCATAGAACCCAGCTTCTCGGATTATTTGCTCAACATACAGGTTGAATAAGTATGGTGAAAGAATACAACCCTGTCACACACCTTTCCTAATTTTAAACCATTCATTATTCCCAAATTTTGTTCGAACAGCTGTCTCTTGGTCCAGGTACAGATTCCTCATGAGCACAATTAAGTGTTCTGGAAAACTCATACTTTGCAATGTTGTCCATAACTAGTCATGATCCACAGAATCAAAAGCCTTTGCAAAGTCAGTAACGCACAGGTAAACATCTTTCTGATATACTCTGCTTTTACCAAGATCCATCGGACATCATTCCATGGCCTCTTCTCAATCCGGCTTAAACGTCTGGAAGTTCTCTTTCAATGTATGCTTACAGCCATTTCTGTATTACCTTAAGTAAAACTTTACTTGCATGGGCGATCAAAGAGATTGTCTAATGATTTCCACATTCCGTTGGGTCACTATCTTTGGAATGGACACAAATACGGATCTCTTGCAGTCAGTCAGTCAGATAGCTGTCTTCCAAATTTCTTGACATAGATGAGTGAGTGCCTCCAGTGCTGCCTCACTTTCTTCAGAGATTTCAAGTTTTATTCCATCAATTCCTGGTGTGTTTTTCTTTGGCAGTTCCTTCAATGCACCATGGACTTCTTCTTTCAGTATCATTGGCTCTTGATCATATGCTACCTCTTGAAATGGTTGTTGTTTTTAAGTGTCGTTGAGTCAATTCCTACCCATAGCAACCCTGTATAGGGTTTCCAAGGAGCAGCTGGTGATCTTGAACCATTGACCGTGCAGTTCCAATGCCTTTGCAGTCAGACTCATTAACCCACAGCGCCACACCAGCACCTCCAATATCCTGTGCTCTCTCCTCTAGGCCACAGAGCCAAAATCAGGTCACTGTGGAGTCGCCCCACTGCCATAGAGCCAATTCTGACTCCAGGCAACCTACAACAGAGCTTCAGAGCTGGAAAATCTTGACACTGCCGTGGCTAAGTCTGCCCAGTGTAGCCACCCCAGGAAGGCACAGAACCCTACAGTTAGCCTTTGTCTTAGCAAAGCAGAACCCCAACAGTACGGTTACTTCAGTTGTTAGTCTGTCCTTTTCCCACTGCCGCGAGGGGCTGCGGTGGAGGCTGTTCAGGAAGCACAGGTCCCTGCTGGACTGGCGACGGCAGAACCACCCGGTGTAGTTCCTTCTCCACAGACCACTCCCCTCACCTCCCTGCCCCGCCCCATCCCAGACCTCACTGATGTCCTTGCTGCTGAAAACACTCAGAGGTCAGTGACTGAATGGCTTCACAGACTAGAGCTGCCCCCACAGGGTTTCCAAGGCTGTGATCTTTACGGAAGCAGACTGCCATAGCTCTCCACCACAGAGCAGCGGGTGGGTTCGAACTGCCAAACTCTTGGTTACCAGCTGAGTGCTTAACAAATGCACCACCAGTGTTCTTCCCTTGTTGCTGTTGTTGTTGTTAAGTGCCCTCAGTCAGTTCTGGCTCAGTGACTGTGCACAGGGTTTCCAAGGAGCAGCCAGTGGGTTTGAACCTCTGACCTTGTGGTTCGCATTCCAGCGCTTATCCTACAGCACCACACCAGGAGTCCATACAACCATTACACTGCTCATGAATCTTTGCATATTCAACTTTTCCTATTTAGCCAATCATAAACTCTGTTCATGCAGACATTTTCCATTACAAAAGCACACTAACCAACCAGATAATAGTGTCCACTATCAGAAGGTTTCTAAGCTACTAGGTCTAATCTCATTTTTTCTGGTCTTTGCTGTTGTCACTGCTCTTTGGTCCCTTAAGTAGACTCTGACTCATAGTGACCCTCTTCATAGTAGAACCAAACACTGCCCAGTCCTGCGCCATCCTCACAATTGTTACGCTTGAGCCCGCTGTTGCTGACCCTGTGTAATCCTTCTCCAGGGCCCTCCTGATAGGATGTCCGAAGCATAAGATCAAGTCTCGTCGGCCTGGCTTCTAAGGAGCATTCTGGTCATACTTCCAGCACAGATTAGCTAGTTCTTCTGGCAGTCCACGGTACTTTCAATATTCTCCTCCAACACCGTATTTCAATGCATCAGTTCTTCAGTGGTCTTCCTTATTCCCATCCACCTTTCACATGCATGAGACAACTGAAAATATCATGGTTTGGGTCAGATGCACCTTAGTCCTCAAATTGACATGAAATGTTAACTCTTTTATTGATCAACTATAAAATTAATCCTTAAAGTATTATTAATAATTATCTTAATTAATGATTGTTGTTGTGAAGTGTTGCCAAGTGATTTCAACTCATAGTGATTGTATATAGGGTTTCTGAGGAAAAAGCCAAGATATCATGAAGACATGTATTCAAGCACTGCCAATCTTTTCAGTACTTACACTTGTCAGCAGATGTTTCAGATGGTCATTCAGAGAAGGACCAACAACAACACTTAGCTGCATCACAGCATTCAGTCCTCTTTCAAACACCTCATCATCTGGATGGACCTATCAGGTGGTGAAGTGGAAGCAGGAGGGAATAAAAGGAGAAAAGGACAAGAATTTAGGAGAGGGTAGTAAGTGGAGAAAAAAATAACAGTGAGCATTTAAAATGAGAAGATTATCAATCAAACTCAGAAGTTGAAAATAATCTTTAAGAGAAGTCAGAAAACAAACTGAGAAACAATTAACCAATTTTCAGCCTGACTGGACCACTCATGATACCCTCCTCCAGGGGCTGGTCTCAACTCATAACATGTCCAAGCATGAGAGGCGAGGTCTTGCTACTCGGGCTTCTAAAGAGCTCTCTCTCTGTACTTTTTACAACACAGATTTGTTACTTATTCTGCCAGTTCATGGTACCGTCAGTATACTTCTCCAACACTGTAACTCAAACGCATCATTTCTTCTACAGTCTTCCTTATTCACTGACCAACTTTCACAAGCATATGAAGCAACTGAAAATACCACAGCGTGGGTTAGGTGTACCTCAGGCATCAAACTGGTTAGCTTTGCTGTTAAAATCCTCTAGAGAGTTCTTGTGCAGCGTATTTGCCTAATACAACATGTCATTTGATTTCTTGACTGCTGCTTCCATTAGTATTGATTTGGATCCAGGCAAAATGAAGGCTTTGACAATGTCAATCTTTTCTGCATTTAACATGGTTATTTATTGGTCCTGTTGTGAGGATTTTTGTTTTTAC